AGAAGGAACATGCATAATGGCATTACTTCATACCACGAAGTTGTGGTGTTTCTAGGCCCTGCTAGATTATACGATACGAGTGAGTGATTGAGCTCTGTTGGAAAATGAAAAAAAAAATAAAAAATCGAGTTATCATACATTGGAAACTTCGCTAGTTACAGACTGGTTTCGAGCTGCACTGATTACAATTAAAAATGAATAAAAAGAAACGAATAGGCACTATATTGTTATAAACCCGCCACTCGTACTTTTTGATTGCCTCCTGTAACTAAAGTTAAAGAAGCCAGAAAATTCGACTATTTTCAAGATGAACTGAATCACGAAAATTCGAGCGTGTTAGAGAAGGACGCACATAACTATAAAAGCCCCGGTGCGCACCGCGTAAGGATCAGTTCTGATTGACGTACGACAAGTGCAGTAAAGTGTAAAGTCAAGAACAGGACCGACTACAGAAAATCCTTCAAGGACAAGAGGACAAGCGACAACTAGAACAGGACCGACTACAGAAAATCATTCAAAAACAAGAAGACAGGCGACTCAAAGAAAAACAGGAAGAAGAGGACAAGCGACAGCAAGAGCAAGACGGCTCCAGAAAATTCTGCAAGAACAGGAGGACAGACGACAGAGGGATGTTGACAGGATCGCTGGGTTGTTCCAGAACATCCAACAAGAAGTCAAAGGCGAAATAGAAATGGTTCGAGAAGAAGTCAAAGGCGAAATGGAAACGGTTCGAGTCGTTCGAGAAGAAGTCAAAGGCGAAATGGGGGCGATCCGAGAGGAATTCGAGAAAAAATATAGAAAACTGGAGAAGAAAATGGAGAAAATTCGCGAAGAACCCAATATCAACGAAAGTACCAGCAAAATGGATGTATTGTTGAGCCTAATCGTACGCGGCCAACTCAAACCACCAACTTTTGAAACATCATGGTCCATGTATAAACGACAGTTTGAGGACGCTACTAGTGCAAATGGATGGGATTAACAGCAAAAAGCAACATTATTGGTACTTGCACTACGAGGAAAGGTGCTTGAAATTCTTCAAAATATTCCCGAGACACAACAAAGTGATTATGCAGCTGTTGTAGGAGCCTTAGAACTGAGGTACGGAAACAGGTATCTCAGTCAAGTCTACCAGAGTCAACTCAAAAGCAGAGTCCAAGGTCCATCTGAGACACTGCAGGAATTTAGTAGCGACATCGAGAGAATGGTGAGATTGGCGTATCCACAAGCTCTTGAAGACTTCATTGAACAGATAAATGCCCAGTACTTTATCGATGGAGTAAAAGATACAGCCCTGCAATAAGCACTGAGAATGAGTAGGCATAACACCTTAGCTGACACCGTTGTCCATGCATTGGAATATGAAGCTGCCAAAAATGCCTCTTTAAATCGAAGAAGCAAGATCACGGAAGTCAAGATAGCAGAGGATCGCCCAAACTCAGACGCAGATATGTTGATCAAATGCTACAACTGTGGCCGAGAAGGACATATTAGCAGAAACTGTAGGCGACGTTTCCGCTCAGGAGATCGTGAAGCGGAGGAAGAAGGTGATTCCAGACATCATCAGGGAAACGCCACCTCGCCAATGTAAGGGGGAGAATGCTGGCGACCACCGATTCTCGAGCCCCCAAAGTAAGGGTGTGCTCCATCAAGAAGAATTGTGTCTCATTGCCCAAGGCACCCTCAACGGCAAGAAATTTGATTTGACCATCGACACAGGGGCATCAAGATCAGTGGTTCGCCCCGACAAGGTTTCTAAGGACTCTGTCATGATGTTGAGAAATAAACCACTGCTAAAAACAGCTAAGGGAGATTTGATAAATGAGAGACCACCGTGACATTGGGAAAAGGCAGCACCGAACTTAAGGTAGAAGTGATAGTTGCTGACATAGTAGATGAATTTATATTGGGAGTGGATGTCCTAGAAACCTTTGATTTCCTATCAGTGGACTTTAAACATAAAATGTTGAGAGTGGGCAACGAAGAAATACTCTTCTCATCACCGTCAAATAAGGACTGTCAAATTAGAATAATCGTTGATGAAGATACACGAATTCCTGGAAATAGTGAGTCGAATGTGCGAGCACACCTAGAAAAACAGCTAGAAGGCGTGAACACCATGATCGTGGAACCAACAGGAAACATGCAGAATGGAACACTTGTGGCATATTGCTTAGTGAATTCCAACAATGTTTTTCCAGTGAGAGTGGCCAATCTAACAACAAACCGTGTGACATTGAAGAAAGGAGACGTTATTGGCAGATGTACACCAGCTATACGAGTAGTCAGATGCGCAAAGAAGGAGCTTGTGTCAAATGAAGCACATTTATCAGTAGAGCTTCTGGAGAAGTTTGAAAGCTGGAATCACTTAGGCCAGCAAGAAAAGAAGAAAGCTATTGGCTTTGTGCAGAAAGAGGCTGGTGTTTTTGTGAAAGATAAAATTACTGGACGAACTAATTTGGTAGATCATCGCATCAACACAGGAAGTGCTACACTCACTCGCCAACCACCAGAAGGACTCCCTTTCGCAAAGCAACAGCAAGTTAACACCATCCTTAAGGAAATGCTGAAGGACAATATCATAGAAGAATCTAATAGTCCATGGTCATCGCCGGTGGTACTAGTTACGAAAAAGGATGGTTCTGCCAGGTTTTCTGTGGATTATAGAAGGTTGAATGACGTTACGAAGAAAGACAGCTATTCATTACCCCGGATTGACGATACCCTTAACACCCTATCAGGATCCAAATGGTTTTCAACCCTGGACTTGAAAAGTGGATATTGGCAGGTGGAACTCAGTAAAGAGGATAAAGAGAAAACCGCATTTACTGCAGAAAATGGCCTATATTAATTTAACGTCATGCCTTTTGGATTCTGCAATGCACCTGCCACTTTTGAAAGACTGATGGAGTTAGTTTTGCGAGGACTGACTTGGGAAACGTGCATGGTATATCTGGATGATGTCATGGTGCTTGGCAAAGATTTCGACGAATACCTGTCGAATTTGAAGGAAGTTTTTGCCAGGGTATTAAGTGCCAATCTGCAACTGAATCCCAAGAAGTGTGTCCTATTCCAGAAAAAAGTAAACTTCCTCGGCTATGTCGTCTCATCAAAAGGAATAGAGACAGATCCAGATACAGTCCAAGCTGTGCGAGATTGGCCCAGACCCAAGAATAAACATGAAGTTAGAAGCTTCCTGGGACTCTGCAGTTACTACCGCCGGGTTTTGTCAAATATTTTGGGAAGATTGCAAAGCCTTTACATGAACTAACTGAAAAGGACGCTCGTTTTGATTGGATACCTGAATATCAACGGTCTTTCGTGGAGCTGAAAAATAAATTGACTAGTGCTCCAGTTCTGGCGTATCCCAGGGATGAAGGTCTATTTATGTTAGACACTGACGCTTCGCAAAGTGGAATAGGGTCTGTTCTTTCCCAAATTCAAAACGGCGAAGAAGTAGTAATTGGATACTTCAGTAAGTCCATTAGAAAGGAGCTTCTGGCAGTAGTAAGGTCTATTGAACATTACCACAGCTTCCTCTATGGCCGCATTGCAATGGCTGCTCAATTTAAAAAATCCGGAGGGTCAAATAGCGCGTTGGTTAGAGAAATTACAAAGTTATGTCTTCCAAATCAAACGCAAAGGAAGGAGTCATGCCAACGCCGACAGCCTATCACGAAGACCATGTATTGACAGCTCATGTAAATTCTGCCAAAGGCAAAAGAAAAAGGAGGCAACCAAAAATTCTGAAGTCGTTCAACAAATAAGGCTTAAGAATTCCGACAACGACGATAATACTGATGAGGACATTACGAGAGAAGACTTCGAAGAACAACAAAATATGGATAAAGAATTGAAAATGGTGCGTGGCTGGCTACAAGACGGACAACAACCTGGATGGCAAGAAATTTCCAGTTTGAGTCAAACGGTGAAGGGATACTGGCTGCAATGGGACTCGTTCTGCCTGCGAGATGACTTGAGCACTCGTAAATGGGAGAGTCCAGATGGAAAAAGCCTAGTATATCAGACCGTTGTGCCACGGACCATGGTTGACAGAGTGCTTCAAGAACTGCACAGTAGTAGGAGTGGCGGATACTTTGGAGTCAATAGGACTTTGGCTCGAGTAAGAGATAGGTACTATTAGATCAACTGTCGTAGGGATGTTGAAGAGTGGTGCAAGAGATGCGATCTCTGTGCTTCTAAGAAAGGACCCAAGACGCGATCCCGGGGAGAAATGAAGCAGTACTTGTCCGGTTCTCCTTTGGAGAGAATTACCGTGGATATTGCAGGTCCTTTTCCTACGACGGAGTCAGGGAATAAGTACCTCATGGTTGCTATGGACTATTTTGTAAAGTGGCCAGAAGTAGTTCCCATACCCAATCAGGAAGCAGTTACTGTTGCGGAATCATTGCTGGAAAACGTCATATCCAGACATGGGGTACCGATGGAACTTTATACCGATCAGGGAAGGAATTTTGAGTCCGAAGTATGGAAACAACTGATGAGGTTACATGACCGTCGATCCATAATCTTTACAATCGAAAGGCGAAAAAAAAAATCCTAACATTGATACAACTTATATGACGATTACTACACCGCAGTGATTTCTGCTTTGATTGCTTTGACCATTACATCATTAGCAGCAGTTTATTTTCATCACCCGGTCTGTGATTTTCACCTAATACACCCTCTATCTTCTTATTTAAAAGATGAACCAGGCAATGATGATGACGACGTCGACATAGCGCCCACCCCTCTCTGTCTCTCTCTTTCTTTAAAACTCAAAAGGAATTTCCTATAGCGTAAAAGCGAACGTAATTAAATTTCAGGTTTACGTGTCTTTGTCACCTTGTTTAAAGTTATGCGAGCGTGTACGGGGGTCTTAAATAAGGACTACGGCGCGCTTACGAACGTTGGCTGTGGGAAATGGATGTTTCCGTTCCCATGATAGTGGTGGCTGTAAATAGTTAAGAGTAATTGTATATTAACGAAAAACTTACCGGCATAGTCTGACTCCCGTGCAAACTATTGATGGCCGCTTGCGCTTCCTGATGCGAACTGTATTTCACAAAAGCACAACCTGAAACAAGAAGGTTGAACGTTAAAGTTAATAATCATAATCCACAAGATTGCTTAACCTAGTTTTTGGTGGGCGCAAAAAATTGATAGGTACCTGAGCCAGGACACAACAAGGATAATGGCCAATTTGGAACTATATTGAAACGCCACGTACATATAATAAATGTCTTTACGAGTTTTAATCAAAACACTTCAAGGGGGAAAGACATCAGCTGGTGTGCTATGAACAGAGGCCAAGTTGTCTTCATAAAAATTTAATACAAGCCTATTAGGTTGGCAAGTGTTGGATATCGGGCAAAATTTAGCTGATTTTTGTTGCTGGTCGATTTAATTTCACATTAATAACAACCCTGTAGCTACTCAAATATATTTAAGTTGCCTTGCCCAAACTTTATAAATATTGAAATTTAAAAAGTCTACAGCCACTAAAAACACATACATATTTAAGTTAGACTTCAGGTCTTGCATTTAAAATCCATTTATCCATGTACTTACCTTTCTACTCAGGGAAAATAAATATAAATGACGGTTTTAAAATAGCCTCCCTAAAAGCCTTATTTTCCGACATTAAGTATGCACTTTTACTTTTGTATGGCGAAAACCCCTCAAGTTTTATCTCAAAGAAAACGCTCTTTTCGCGAAGTTAATAGCCCAGTGAAGTTATTTTTCCGGTAAATAACGTCACAAAGAGAAACTTCACGCCTGCTGCTGGCTGAGAGGGAGGTAGTGTTTTTGCTTTTTAACAGAAATGAACTACCACAGCTCGTCAGTCACAGATTTGCCTCGGAACGGGTTTTTTTTTCTTCACATTTTCCATTTAGCCGCCTGAAAAAAGGCTTAAAAATGGGAAATTAACGTCGTCACCGTTACCGAGGATAAATGAAGGTGTGCGGAGGAGAATTAGCAAGAGTCATTCTTTTGTGTTTATTTAATTGAGTTTTTTATAGGAGACCTAATATTATTTTACCCTTTTAAGAGGTTGCTCCTGAAAAATTAAAAAATATTCTCACAAACATAGTCACTCTTCATACAGACTACTTCTTCTCCTATCTAATTAAAGTCAGTTTTGGGGGCGCAATTGTTCCGCCCCTGGACGGATGTTTGAAGGAATTTTCATCAATAAAAGTTATGAGTGGAAGAATCCAAAACATTTCTCAATTATTATTATCAAGACGAGCAGCGAGGAGGAACGAAAATAAAAACGCAGCAAGCAGAAATGTGTTTAGAGAAACCCGGTCTTCGAGATTAAAACCAATCTGACCATCTGAGACTTTTCTTTAATGATGTTTTTAATATAAATAACTCTGCAGGGGTTGTTGGTAGTGCGCAAATAAAGATGGTATTTCTTAATTGAGTTCCTAAACTAATCACTTTTGCGATATTGAGACGAAAAAAGTTCTATGTGGGCTGTGTTAGGCATTTCAGTCCCATCGATAAACTCGAAGAACTTTTAACCACGCAACACAACTTATTTCTGTTTGTTACGTTTTAAATCAATTACAATTAGGAATAAGTACTGACATAACGAAAACAAGCGAGTGGAAATAAATAAAATGTTCGTTTAAATAAGGGTCACATGTCTTGTTGTTTATCTACCTTTTCCTGTCTGTTTCTAGAATTTTCACTTTGTCAAACAAAATAGAATTGCCAGGTCCACTCGGACTATAAATGATATGATTCATATCAGTATGACAAATGGTGCGAACATATTGGAGGTCTTGGTGTGAATTTGAGCCAAATTTGTGAAATTAGCTGCGACTTTCTTTACTTAAATCAAGATTCGAATAAAACAAATATGAATATTTTGACAGAAGAGATGCTGCATCTGTATCATTTTTTTTTAAAACTGGGATCCATTTTTTTTTTTTTTTGATGAAATCAGCGCTGCAGTTAGGTTTCAGTGATCTAAAGGTGATAATTTCCTCAACTTCTGTTGTGATCACGAATGAACATTTTATATTTGCGAGAGTTGGATATGAGCTCAACTTCATTGGACTAGAACCAGTACTGGGGATAGCCCTGAATACGGCCAACCACGCAATCTCGACCTAAGTAAATATAGAGGCCAAACAATACTGGAAGAGGCTACCAGATATGAACCATGCAAAATCCTTTGTAGCCACCGCATTAACAAGATTCCCACTGTCCCTACCCACATCACGATGCATGCTGGTTCGCTGGTGCAATTTTGTTAACACCCACCGAACCGTCGTGTCTACCATCTCACGATATGGAAAGAAGGGAGCAGCTCTCGAATGATCCCAGAATTTTAGGCAGAGTTCCTAAGCCTCTCTTCAGAAGGATGGTAGCGGTATCGTCTTGTCCTCCGTAAAAAGAGGGGAACCCTACGAATGATTCCATTTGATCTGGCTGAAAGTTCAATGAACCCATCTTCCCGGTTGATGGGCTTTACTTCGAACCGTAACTCGTCCGGTCAAACCAGGACCCGGGCACGGTCGGGGGGTTTAAGGTGTAACCTGAGTAATACTCGTGGTCTCACTAGTTGGTTCGGGCGAAGGACCCCTAATGTCTACCCTATCCCAGTATACTTGGATGATAGATGACTGGGGAGCTCCGAAAACAAGTAGAGGAAAATCCCAGTCCCGGACCTTGTCAAGGGAAAGGGGACTCACCTAGTGAGCCCATTTAACACAAGGAATACAGTGCTAGGTCGACCACATTCCTGCACCAGTAAAGATCCTGCAGTAGTTGTGCTGATTCCAGGATTCGTGATTGAAGGGCACAAGCGTGTATTACTTGAGATGTGGAAGCTACTCCGAGTGATACCAAGCGGCGACTCGTCAAACCTGGCTGGGGGAACCTGGCAAACACGATGACCCAGGGGAAAGTTCAGCCCAACCAACTTGGTGTCTTTCATCCGTGTTGGTCTCTGTGGGACAGAGTGGCTAGCTAGTTTAGTGGGTAATACCCCAGATGCTACATCACAACTTCTTGAGAAATATACTCACCACAAAAAAGAAAAAAAGTGGCGGACACTGTAACTAAGTTACATAATTTTTTTCTTTTGTTTTAAAAGGTATCGTGAGTTCGAGTGCATATTTCAATAATATTATTCTCATTCATCAAATTAATTAATAATTTGCGCGTGACCTTGCTTTGAGTGTACGATTCCCTGCCGCCTCGCCAGCACACGCATCTCTTGCTTGGGAAGAGCTGTGGTCTTTCGGCCATGCTGGGTTCCCCACCGCCTTAACATGTGACATGTGACGCCGCTCACCCATTTAAGGCAGTAAGCTCTGTAAAACGGGGAGTCCGCCGCCAGCAGCCAGCCAGCTTCAAGACTAGACCTCTAGACCATTACCGACCAGCCGAAGCTAATACCGAGGTAAGCCAACGGGATCGCCCAGTAACAGTCCCAAGAGTGCCGCGCGCCGCGTTTCAGGTTAGGTTAAAATGTGGTAAGAGTTATTTTTATATTTGCTCCATTTTATTTTATTCCTCCCTTTTTCCTCCACTCTTGGTTGATGTCCGGGTGGACCGTCTTTCCTGCATTCTTAGTTGATGTACGAATGCGTCCGTCTCCTTCACCCTTGGTTGATGCCTGGGTGATCCTTTTTCCTCTACTCTTGGTTGACGTCCGGGTGGCCCTTCTTTTCTGCATTCCTGGTTGATGGTCGAATGCGTCCGTTTCCTTCACCCTTGGTTGATGTCCGGGTGACCCGTTTTCCTTCACTCTATGAAATACGTTCCGTGTTCATTACGTGCTAGAGGGACTGTGCTTTGGTTTCTTCCCCGCTTGCAAATCCGCCGCTTGCCTGCCTCATTATTTTATCCGTCACCGTTACATTTTTGGTATTCCGCTATCAACATTATTGCTTACTTTTTATATCCGCTTTCCTCACCGTTTTTCTCACATACGCACGCACCGATCGTACTCACCCTCTCACTCTTGCTCGCATTATTAATTTTTATACTTGCGTATTGGTTATTGATACAGTGGTAGTCTGTTGAATACTGCAAATACAATTTATGCTATTACCGAATTTGGTGTTTGATTTGAACACGGAGTTTTACAGGAAATATTCAGCGTTTTATGTTGATTGAGCAGCAACGTCTGATGTGACCCCTGGGCTACCGTTTCTCCACTGTAACAAGTTACCTGGTGCACGTGGGCCCCAACCACTTTAATCCTGAAGGTGGCGCCCGAGATAACCGTATAGGATAAGAAACCGATTACCAAACTACATCGCTTCCGTACAAAAAGCGCTTTACAAATTTGGCGCCCGAGCAGGGACCCAACGCAATTCAATGACGTCAGCATAAGACCGAGGCGATATCGTCATCATCAGTCCTCAATTTTTCCGAGAGGCCTTTTGTTTTGACGACCACCGTAGGTCTGTCCGTTACCGTACCGTTTTGATGTGATTGCCAGACCGCATATCACAAGAGCGAATTAACCGCTCCTTTTGAACCTTGTGCGTGTGTCTTATCGTCCACCCCATAAATTGGAGGCCTTCACCCATGACGTTCGTGGTTTTTCCGAGGAAGACAGTTTCTGTTGTATTTCGCACAGGATTGGACCGAAGTTTTCTGTTTTGGGAGGTATTGGTAAGCTCATGCGCAAACAATATTTGTTTTGCAATTTCGCATAAACCGAGGTTGCTAATATCATTTATCTCTCTGAAATTTCCCCGTTGATGTAGTTTGTCTGAAACCGATCGCTCTATTGCCAATTCCAACTAGAGAAAGCGATAAAACTCCACATCAAACCGTTTTGCCGCGCCCTCCGTTCTGCGCATGTGTAGCTTTTTTTTTGTATTGTATTCCGAGACAAATATAATTATTGTATCTATCAAGAGTTGCCATATTTCTTAATCAGTCTGAGGATTTAGAGACTTCACCGAATAGTTAACGAGGAGAGGGAGAGTGTGCGCATCAGCCGTCATTCGAGTAGAATCCCACCAACTGTTGCTAGTAAATAGCTCCCCACTTCTTCAAACGAGTATAAAATAAGGCGCTCGCCCTTGTTACGGGATTATT